CCTCACCAGAGCCAGCCTGTGCGTACAATACACGGTGCCTGGAGTAGCCCTCGATCGGGGGGCCCCCTACCCCCACCCCCACTTCCTTCCGTACACTACCATGTGGCAACAATACACGCTCGACCCCCAGGTCTGAGGTGTCTTTTTAATATTAGATAGAAATCAACGCAAAGGGCTAGAGCTCTACATTTCCAAAAGGCATGAAAAAAATGCTTAAGTTACTCCCAAAGTCCGCTGCAGGCGGGCCTGTCCCTAAGCTCAGCTGAGCCAGAGGAAAATGAAAGGCAGGAGGGGTACACGGAGGGGGAAGGCCTCCGAGGGCAGGCGCACGGCTCCTCCCGATGCCGGCGGCCCGCGGCCCGAGGAGTCCTCGCCGCCGACAGAGCTTCTGATACCGATTTCGTCTCCAGTCCTCCCCAGGGTCCCGCCAGCATCATACGAAGCAGCAGTACTTCTTCCACCAGGACTTGGAGAGGGTCCTCATTTTGTCGGGAGTCCTGCTCTTGGGTTTCTTTGGCTGCTGCTGCGTGTCCGCGTACTGGATGCCGGCCACGATGGCCGCGTCGAAGACCTCTTTGAGGTTCTTCTGCGTCAAGGCAGAGCACTCGATGTAGGAGGCGGCCTTGATCTCCTCGGCGCACAGCTTGGCCGCCTCCTCGGGCACCGGCTTCTCCTTGCACTTGTCCAGCTCGATGAGGACCTTGACGTCTTCCCGGAGGTCCGACTGCGTGCCCACGAGGATGATGGGGGCTTTGGGGCAGTGGCGCCGGATCTCGGGCACCCACTTCTCGGTGACGTTCTGGAAGGAAGTGGGGCTGACCACGCTGAAGCACAGCAGGAAGATGTCCGCGTTGGTGTAGCACAGGGGCCGCAGCCTGTCGAACTCGTCCTGCAACCAAAGCACCCAGAGTTATTTTTTTAAAATATATTTTTATTGGGTTCAGAGAGAGGAAAGGAGAGGGAGAGAGAGATGGAAACATCCATGATGAGAGAGAATAATTGCTCTGCTGCCTCCTGCATGTCCCCTGCTGGGGATCGAACCCGCAACCTGGGCATGTGCCCTGACCAGAATCGAACCCAGGACCCTTCAGTCCACAGACCGACGCTCTATCCATTGAGTCAAACCGGATAGGGCCGCCCAGAGTTATTTTTTAAGTCCATCTCATTCACAGAACGACCACCTTTACATTTTAAAACAAATATATATATTTATAGAAATACTAGAGGTCCGGTGCACAAATTCGTGCATATGTGGGGTCCTGATGGGCCGCCCCAATCGGGGCCAATCAGGACAGGCTGGCCAGGGGGAGGGGACGTGGGAGATTGGCCAGCCGGCCCCACCCCCGATCGGGGTTGGGGGGCATCAGGGGTGGGGTTAGCCAGGGGGAGGGGCCACAGGCGGTTGGCCAGCTGTCCCCACGCCCTGGTCGAACTGCTGGTCAGTATAACTCCCGCCCAAGGGGACAATTTGCATGTTAGCCTTTTATTATATAGGATCATCTCCGAGTAAGGGTGTTTCTATATCTCACCCCCCACAACCCCCCCGCCCCCCGTGGCACTGTATTCGGCTGCTCGAAAGCGTTTATTCGACTCTCTCGTAGGAAGATACTGACATCCTCTCGTTCCTGTTTGACATTTCTGTCTGTGGCTGCTGAGTATCCTCAGGTGTCATGTGACAGATGGTTTCCCGGGCCGGGAAAGGCTCCGTGTCACCCAGGTTTTTTGTGACGAACTGCCGAGCCCTGATTATTTACACACGACCATTCACATGCACATGACTCAGCACCCATCTTCCCAGGAATAAAGGAAACCCGGTGTGTTCCACATGAACGCCCTTTCTTCGTCTGGGCTATTTCCATCGCCGGGTGACAACCGTCTAACGATATTAAAGTCGACCGGCTCACGTGATCAGGCGTGACGGGGAGGCATCTTGGAACGTCTCTGGCCCCTGGCCAGTCTTCTGTAAGCAAAAGTCAGGAAGAAGAATGACTTGGGTTTCTTCGTGCCAACTTTGAGCTGAAAGAAGTAACACAGAAACTCCGCCAGGTACAGACCACGGCCCGGCTCTGAAGTTCAACTGGTGAAACGTTCCCTCTGTTCTCCGACGCCCCGAAGCATAAAACCGAGAGCCGCTGTGAGGTCAGCTCCCCGGGGCGGCTGCACTGGCTCTTGGAAGGCACTCACCCCCGGCCGTGCCCTGGCATCTGGGGTTGTGTTACCAGTAAAAAGAGAGGCAAGCTCAGGGGTCCGGGGCCGGCGACAGGGCGGGCGTTGGAAACCTGGCTCCCCAGACTTCTGGGGGTCCTGGCGGAGGGATTTGGGAAGCCGAGCCCAACCAGAAACCCTAGATACTTGCTGAAATGAATGCAACGCACATGTGTGCGGCGAGGCCAAGGGGGATGGATGTACCCGTCTTGAGGTCTGTGGGGAGGATCTGGTTCAGGGGCCGAGCCGGCCGGGCAGGACGCTGGGCAGTAGGTCCGTCCAGCTGCAATCTGATTATTTACTTATTTTCTTGGTATAAAGGTTTTTTCCACGCGCCTCCTGGGTCCGAAGGCTGGAGGCTTTTCAGCTCCTCTTGGCAGGGCTACAACGGACCCGTCTTCTCGCAGCGGCGCCCCCTTTCTCAGATGCCAAAGGCACGTCTCCCAAAGTCCTTGGTGACGGATCAGCTTTCACTCCAGTGAGACTGTGAGTCCGGTGTTTAAACCTCCTTCTGTGCTCACCTGGCCTCGCCGACAAGAAAACCGCGGGCACAAGAAGCGATTTCTTGGCGATTTCTCCCGCCCGGAGAGCTGGATTTTTGCTGTGAGCTTCTGTAGGAAACCTGCTCTGGGGCCCCGGGTTATGGCTCCCTGTGCTCACTCTGCTGGAGCTGGGAATGGAGACGGCTGAGTCACTGTGCATCCACCAGGCAATCCTGGGTACTGCCTGGAGGAGGGGCGTTCCACCGGCTGAGTCAACACTAAGTGACTATGGCAGGAGTCAGAACAAGTCCTTTAAAAGGTAGCCGATCAGCTCCGGAGTAGGTGGGGAGAAAGGGCCATCGTTTTGGCCAGCTTTGCCAATCGTCAAAACCAATACTAACTAATACTTGGGGATCAGGAAACAATGAACTCCATCTTCCCAGCTGTGTACATTTCCCAGTGATTTTTAAAATATATATATTTTTATCGACTTTTTACAGAGAGGAAGGGAGAGGGATAGAGAGTTAGAAACATCGATGAGAGAGAAACATCGATCAGCTGCCTCTTGCATGCCCCGTAATGGGGATCGAGCCTGCAACCAAGGTACATGCCCTGGACCAGAATCGAACCCGGGACCCTTCAGTCCACAGCCCAGCACTCTATCCACTGAGCCAAACCGGTCAGGGCATATTTCTCAGTGTTTATAGTTGGCTTTCTACAAATCTTCAGATAAGTAACCTCATTCAGGACATAACCTAACTAGTACATCAGGTAAGAAATACTAGTATAATCAACTCAACGAAAACCCTGCTGGGTGATCAGACGAATACATTCCTAATACCCCCAAAGCTTTGCAACTTAGCACCTGACCCCTTTATTCTCCAAACATAAATGTCTTTCGTGAAAATATTTCTCAAATGATTCACATGTTTCTCTGACTTTTACTTATTTTCTTTAAAAATAGATAATTGTTATTGATTTCAGAGAGGAAGGGAGAGGGAGAGAGAAACAGAAACATCCATGGGGAGAGAGAATCATGGATCAGCTGCCTCCTGCACGCCCCTTTAGAGTAAGCAACCCGGGCGTGTGCCCTGACCGGGAATCGAACCACGACCTCCTGGTTCATCGGCCGACCACTGAGCCACGCCAGCAGGCCACAACTTCTGCTTAAAAGCAAATGGTCACGTGGCAACACTTCAGAAAGCAAGGGAAGCAAGCACTCCTCCCTGCCTACAAAGTAGCCCCCGGACACTTTCGCTAAAGCTAGCCAGTGCTGGCCATGGAGTCCTTATCGTAACCTACATGCTTATTAACTCAGAAGATGGCACGCTGGGTTCTAAAGAGAACAGAGCCCGGCCGGTGTGGCTCAGTGGTTGAGCGTCGACCTATGAACCGGGAGGTCACAGTTCGTTTCCGGCCAAGGGCACATGCCCGGGTTGCGGGCTCCATCCCCAGTGTGGGGCGTGCAGGAGGCAGCAGATCCATGATTCTCTCTCCTCATGGATGTTTCTCTCTCTCTCTCAATTCTCCCTTCCTCTCTGACACCCATAAACATATATTTAAAAGAAAATAAAGAGGACAGAAACTTCGGTGGCTTGAGAGCCATGCCAAGGTGGGGGGGGGACTGAGTGATGATGAAACCGTGGAGCTCTGGGCGATGTCCACACCCCCGTGTCCTCCCCATCATCCTCCCTCGTGACAAGAATAAATGTTCACGATTCGAAAGACTGGGTTCCGGCCCAGCCCTTCCCCCGCAGCTCAGGCCCGCTCCCAGCACCGCATCTCTGCCCCCCAGGATGGCAGTGGCCCTGGGGAGTCGAGCCCCAGCTGAGGGAGGGGCACAGGGACACGGACGGACATAGACCCCATCTCCTCTTCAGGACAAGCCCTCAACATCTGGCTCGTTGCCCTTTAACACACTGATTCTAAGATACGACCAACTGACGTTGAGAAAGGATTACAAAGCATTTTTCCCCCCCATAAAAACCAGAAAGTAAAACAGGATCAGAAACTCCTGTGAGGTCAGAGTGTTCTAGAGCCTGCTGTCCCCCGCTGGCCACACCCCGTTTTACGGGTGCAGAGATTTCCCGGAGAGGGGCCCACGGCAGGGGTGGGGCGGCGGCGTGCGGGTGCAGTTACCCAATGATGGAGGGAGGCTGCTGGGAGGCCCTCAGAGCCGTTTCCTGCCCCAGCATGGAATCAGGATGTGATACTGACCTGTCCCGCCGTGTCACAGAGCTGCAGTCTCACGGGCCGCCCGTCCACGGACACCACGGCTGAAAAACAGGACCAGGAGGATTAGCGGGGGTTGTCTCTTAACCTCTTGCCCAAGAATCATCGTTCTGGCCTGCCCCACCATCCTCACTCGGACCCTGCGGCTCCTATGCCGAGTCCCCCAATCAATTAAAGGCTTGCCTAACACGAGGAGACCCACAAGGCATCTTCTAGATCTATAAAAGGCTAATATGCCAGGTGTCCCCTCGGGAGTTTGACCGGGAGAATGGGAGTTCGATTGCTCACTATGACGTGCACTGACCACCAGGGGGTGAGGGGGAACATGGTGGGCGACCATTGGCAGCACCATACGGGTGGCAAGGGAAGGAGAAGGGGTGGGGAGGTGGGGAGGCAGGGGGAAACCTGATCAGCCCTGATCGACAGCTAGTCCTAGGGACCCTACCCATGCACGAATTTTGGGCACCGGGCCTCTAGTTTAAGATATATATTTGTATTGATTTCAGAGAGGAAGGATGCGAGATAAAAACATCCATGATGAGAGACAGTCATTGACTGGCTGCCTCCTGCACGCCCCCTACTGGGGATCAAGCCCACAACAGGGCATGGGCCCCGATTAGGAATCGAACCCTGAACTCCTCCTGGTTCATACGTTGATGCCCAATCACTGAGCCACGCCGGCCGGGCCACAAGGCATTTTTGTAAACCACCCTCCAGGGATGACAATTCCACCCACTGCCACCGACGAGGCAACCCCCCCGCCCCGGGCCCCCCAGCCTTCGGTGGCACCCCAGAAGGGCCTGCTTCCCAAGATTTACTTTCCGGCCACACTCGTTTCAAAAGACCTAGAAACCACACGGGAGGGTAAGGGGAAACCGACCTTGCAGCTTCCCAAAGCCTCCCAAAGAGCTGTTTTCCCGTGGGAAACGGCCCGAAACGCCCGGCGTTTTATCATGATACTGTAGCTGGCTTTGAGAACGTGCGCGAACACTGGCTGCCCGCACTGCCCCGTGTATCAGGGAGGGCTCGGCTGATCGGTCCGTGCCAGCTCCAAGGGCGGGTTCAGGAGAGAAAGGGGAGAGAGAGTGTGCCCACCTGGCCGCAGAGTGGGGCCCCTGGGGAGCGGCCTGGAAGGTTCGACGGGAGCTGAGCACTCAGTTCTGCCTCAATGTAACTTTCTACATCGGTCATGAATCCAGATATTCGTCCATGGAACCAACACAGAAGGGGAAGGAAACAATACCATTTAGGTGGGCAGGTGGGAAACCCAGGGGCCTAGCACCGTGTATCCAGGGCACGTCTGGGGCGGAGGAAAGCTTTTTTTAAAAGATATTTTTAAAATACATTTTATTGATTTTCCACAAAGAGGAAGGGAGAAGGATAGAGAGTCAGAAACATCATGAGAGAGAAACATCGATCAGCTGCCTCCTGCACACCCCTCATTGGGGATGTGCCCGCAACCAAGGTACATGCCCTTGACCGGAATCGAACCTGGGACCCTTCAGTCCGCAGGCCGACGCTCTATCCGCTGAGCCAAACGGTTAGGGCCATCATGACTTTTTAAGAAGCGGAGAAGCGTTTAACACACACACACACACACACACACACACACACACACACCAAAAAGACGAGAGAGTGCGCGGTTCACACTAGTTTCTGTGGACTTCCACTTTGCCCTAAATTGCAAAAAGACCTGAAAAATCCAGGTGAAGGAGCCCTTTATCTCTGCGTCCATCAAACCCAATCGCATAGCACCCCGTTCCCACGAGCTTCAGTAGCTCAAAGAGACGGTGAACAAGATGATACTGAGAATCGCAAACAGGCAGTGGTGGGGGCGGTGGGAGTCGGGGAGGCCGGGCCGGGCCGGGGCCTCAGAAGAAAGAATCTTGTTTATCCTCCGGCTTAACCCCGACCTCCGC